CTAAGTCCACTGCTATTGCTAAGTCCACTGCTATTATTTCAGGGATCAAAAGAAAATAGGACCCTGTCTTTTTTTCGGGGAAACACGGTAGACTTCTCTTAGCTTATTCTGGTTTTTTTTTAAAAGCAGATGATAGGGACAATGCATAAAAGTTAGTTGATAATTATTCCAAATTTTCTCTTCCACCTCCACTCTCTTGCAGTGACACTTTCGACCTCGGCACTGCAGTCTGCCTGTTTCGGATGAGACATGGGCTGGACGTGTCACGGGTGATCAAAGCCCAAGGTGAGTGAATCCAAAAAAATGAGTTTTGAATCAACAAATCTACCTTACTTTAGTTGGGGGGATGGGGGAAGCAGGTTTCTATTGCAAAAGGGGATCACGTGATCCTGGGACACTGGGACCGTCACAAAATATGAATTGGTTGCCAAGCATTTTAATTTGGATCATGCAACCCTGGAGATGCTGCAATGTTTGTAAGGGTGAAAAGCGGCCGTAAGTCCATTGTAGCGTCGGATGGTCATTAAATGAACTGTTATAAGTCGAGGACTGCCTGTACACATTTTGGAACAGCGTTTAATGTTGCTGTTTATATTTTAATTTCTCCCTGCTACCTGTGCGACAGAATTAGGTGGAAGGCAGGATAATACATAGCTTATTGGTTGATTTATTTCTAAATAAATCAATAATAAAGGAGGGGAGGAAGATTGTAAAGTAATAAAGGCAGAATAAAAACTTAATAAATAAATAAACACAGCTTTGATTAATGGTTATTTTTCCTCTCGTTTCCTGGGACAGTGAACCTGGGTTTTGAAGATACAGAAGCTGCCTTGGGGAAGGAAAAGCAGAAACGTAAGTTGGTCTATAATAAGAAATGGGATCTGTTAGGATTAGCCTATTTTCAGACCGTTCAAACTTCATATAAAAAAAAAATTCAAAAAAAAGAGGACTGGAAGCTTGAATGTGCTATGGGAATTTTTTAAAATCTTAATCTAACGTTTTCCCACAAAGGCAGGGTCTGCTTTCTTCAGGTCAACCAAGTGTTGATCCTTTGGTTGCAACAAGAATTGGCTAGCGGATTTATTGTTTGATATCGTGAGCTACTTGTGACTGGCTTGAAGTCACCCAGCTATCCTGCATGCCTAAGGCAGGACTAGAACTCACCGTGTCCTGGTTTCGAGCCTGGTGCTTTAATACTAAGCCCCAGGTATCACTTAATCAGGGGTGGGCTTCAAAAAGTTTAACAAGGGGTTCTCTGCCCGGTTGTTAGATGGGCATGGACATGGTGGGTGTGGCCTAGTTGGCCTGCACCACGGTGCCAGTGGGTGCTTTTGCCTTCCCCGGGTTCCAGAGGCTTTCATCGAGCCTCCGGGAGGGCAAAAACGGCCTCCCCAGGCTCTGAAGGCCGTCTGGAGGCTGGAAACAGGCCCCTGAACTTCCGGTTGGCACATTTTTCACCCTCCCTGAGTCTCCGCATGTGCCCTGCACTTACCTGCATCAAAAATGGCCTGCGTGGGGACTCCTGGGAGGGGCAGGGTGGGGGAGCCGGTAGTGCGATTTGGGGGTTCTCCAAACTGCACAGAATCTTAGCTACAGAGGTTCTCCCGAACCCCTGCAAACCCCCAACCGCCCACTTCTGCTAATGCTGGGAAAACTTTGGAGTTTGGAGAGAATTGGATGAAAGATATATTCCGTAGCTGCTCCTAAAGCCGGTTTGGTCTAGCCGTTAAGGCACTGAGCCATGTGGAACATCTCTTTATCTTTATATTTCACTATAGGTGCCATGTATAAAGTTGGTGCCGATGCTGCATTGGAGACCGTGTTCCAGAGGAATCAGAAGAAGAAAAATATCGATATCTATTGGTTGTTCGATGATGGTGGTACGTGAATTTCCCTGGGAATTAATAATTCTTGGTTTTTAATCGCTATTGTTTATGGCCAAAAAAGCAGTATCTAACAGCCTACAAATACAATTGGTGCCATGATACTGTGATAAAATGGCGACCTTCTTTTTTCCTTGCAAAACTGGAAGGACACATTTGAAGCAGGTGTGTGACTATGAATAGGGCAAAATTCAGATACAGATGGGAAAGCCATAAAGGGAGGTTTTTTTTTCATGGCTCTTTATGGCTTTTCTTACATAAATTATTAAGAGCTATATATATGCTAGATATATAGCATATGCAATATTTAACTATATATAATTTCATAAATGATAGATAATGTGCCATCAAGTTGGTGTTAAGCCAGCTATCACAGATAGATCTTCCACAGATAAATGAATGAAAGAGGTAATTCTTGACTTATCACCACAATTGACCTCAGAATTTATGCTACTAAGCGAGACATTTCTTAAGTGCATTTTGCCCCATTTAACGACCTTGCTTGCCACAGCTAAGTGAATCACTGGAGTTGTTAAGGGAATTTGGCTTCCCCCATTGACTTTGCTCATCAGAAGGTCTCAAAAGCTGATTACATGATCCCTTCAATCACTGCAATCGTCGTAAATTTGAACCAGCTGAAAAGCATCAAAATTTTGATCACGTGACCATGGGGGATGTAGCAATGGTAGTTAAGTGTGAGAAATGGTCATAAGTCACTTTTTTCACTGTTGTTGTAACTTTGAATGGTCACTAAATGAACGGTTGTAAGTCAAGGACTACCTGTATACAGATATGTGTGTCTGCATCTATATCTCTGTGTGTCTAGCTTCGCGCACCTGCAGATATTATGTAATTAAAATTAAATGTATGCTCCCACATATGTATATATATATGTATGTATGTATGTATGTGTATGTGTGTGTGTGTATACAAGTAATCCTTAACTTCTGCCCAAATTGAGCCCAAAAATTATATTGCTAAGTGAGAAATTTGTTCAGTGAGTTTTGGCCCATTTTACGACTTTTCTCACCGCATTTGATAAGGGAATCACTTCAGTTCTTAAATTAATAAGTGAACTTGGTTTCCCCATTGACTTTACTTGTCAGAAAGTCAAAGTCACAAAAGGGGATCACATAACTCCGGGACGCTGCAACTGTCATAAATGTGGGTTAGTTGTCAAGCATCTGAATGCAAATCACCTGACCTGTAACAGGATGCTGTAACAGTCATTAAGTGTGAAAAATGATCTTAAATCTCTTCTTTCAGTGCCATTGTAACTTTGAATTGTTGCTAAATCAACTATTGTGCATCAAGGAATTTGTGTGTGTGTGTGTATACATCAGTGGTGGGTTTCAAAAATTTTTAGAACCTCTTCTGTAGGTGTGGCCTGCTTTGTGGGAGTGGCTT